ATATACGAGTGCTTTGGATTACAAGCATGTTTCCGGAACGAATTATGCTCGTAAACCAAGGTACCACTGTATATTGTAATATGCAGTATATAGTACTGTAGGTACTAACCTTATCAAAGTTCCTTTGTTTTTTGTCTAAGTTGGCAGCTAATGCATTTGCTCGTTCTACATCAATCATGAGGTCCTCCACCTCACCCTGCAGTCTCTGTTTGGTTTTCTCCAGAGAAGCACATTTGGCATTGACAGCCTCAATAGATTCCTCTGCGTCTTGCAGACGCTGAGCAAGCTTTTTCCTGTGATGAAAATTTAATTTGATTGAAATTGCCATTTTGACATAAATTAATGAAGTTAAGTGAAGTTGTTAAATCAATGTAGTTACTTGGCCTCCTCGAGCTCCTCAGTACGCTGGATGGCATCAGTCTCATATTTGGTCCTCCACTGAGCCACCTCACTGTTGGCCTTGGACATTCCACGCTGCAGTTCAGCCTTGGCCTCCTGCTCCTCCTCATATTGCTCTCTGAGGAGGTCACAGTCATGTCGAGCTGATTGCACAGCGTGGGCCAGAGCGTTCTTGGCCTTAAAATGGAAAAAAACAGTATGAATACATTGTTTCTTGGGCCATCACTATCAATTATACCAATAATAAGTAATATAGTGAATAATCTGATGATTACACCAAGTATCCATAGTGCCACTGTGCCGTCCTCAATTAGGTTTGCACAAAGCACAATGTTAAAATATTGATTTGGCATTTCATACTTACGTAATTGTTACATTGCAATGACTGCAGTAGTCTGCTAGGTTCAAACCATGTATAAGTTGCACTAAAAATTTTTTTACTCAGTCGCTGGAAACAAAACTGAGCAAGCTTTGCAAATTTAATCATGGTTTCTTGTGAAAATAATGTAGTAGATGTTAAAAAGAAAAATCAGTCTAATATTTTGCGACACTGCTTGTTAAATGTGCCCTGCACGCACTCTCCGAGACAATCATAATTATTCTCGTCCTTGTTGTTGTACCATGTGGCGAGTTTGTGAGGAATTACACATTAGTGAAGTGAAAAATTGCGAAGACAAACTGACCACGAAAAGAGATTCATCTTCCGCTGCATGGAAATATTGAGGAAATACAAGTGATTTGTCAGCATTGCTTTTTGTCTGTTGGCATAGCCCAACGGCAACACCACTGTCTTTGGTGATAATAACTTCCATTTGGCTATTTAGTTAAATTTAATCACTTTCATGCTGTTAAGTGATGGGACTGACTTTTGTTAGCAGCTATTGTTTTTGAAAATGAAAATGATTTAAGTCAAAATTAGGACTAAGACAGGCTCAGCTACTCTCAGTGGCTAAATGGCCTTATTTTAAGATATAATTGTATTGCAGTCCTGCTGTGGTGATATTTAATGTTTGCTTTACAATACTGAGAGTCAACTGCATTTTCATTGACTTTTAATATGAAATGCTTCCACACATCTGATGCTTTCACTCTTTATTTGGACCCTCCTGCTCTACGCCGTCTTCCTTCTACCGTATTTCTGAG